TGGCTTCCATGACCACATTCTCTCCTCACTGACCAATCCTCATCTGTCAGTCCTACTTATTGCCATATTCACCTGAAAGCACAGCTCCAACAGCCCCCAATAAGTGCTTCTCTGTTCAGACGCCTTCAATGGCTCACCGCTGCCTGCAGGGAAAAAAAAAAGTCATGGAATTATAAAATAATGAAACTATATGCAATACATAATATATATTGCAAGAATATATCGGGGGGGTCCAAACATTTTTAAGTAGCAGAACCCAGAACCCATTAAAAAGAATTTTTCTCAGCACCCCAATGTTTAAAGAGCACGAAAACAATGTGCTTTTTAAACATGGATCCTATGAAAGTGGGGAGTAGGGAACCCAGGAAATTCTAGGGCTTTCACAACACTATTGAAAAAACACTGAATAAATTAAATTTCTCAGTCTGCAGATGAGAAAACGGGCCAGGAGAGAGGGAAAATGATTGGTATAAAGCAGCACAGGATGTGAGGCAGTAAATCAAAACATTTTCATTAAGTGCCTACCAAGTTCCAGGCACATTCTAAGTACTAGGGATAAAGCACAAACTAGACTACATGGGCCTACCCTGGAGGGGCTGACAGCCCAGTAGGGAATTAATCAAGTGTTATAAACAACTACTGAAGTGGCTACAAACATGCAAAGGGAGCCGTGAGAGCATGTAGGAAGAGACGCGCCTGGTCCGAAGAGCAGAGTGGGCCTCCCTGGGGAAGTCACATATGTAAACTGAGCCCTAAAGGACAGATAAGTAGCTGGCTTAAAAAGAAGGAGAAGGCCATTGGTGCAGATGGAACAGCTTAGGTTAAGGTCCAGTGGATGAGTTTGATGGCTGGAATCTCAGGAAAGCCCAGCAGCTCCTACTAAAAGCCCTGGAGCTGTGTGGAACAGGTTGCAGAAGCAAAAGACCTACAGGCCTTGCTGAGGACTTGATACCAGCCTCAGAGGCTGGCAGGCCAAGGAAGGGTTCTCAGGTATTGAGATCTGATCATTGAATTGAATTAGAAGACAATCCACTACTAAGTTCAATGTGGAATGGAATTATGGGTTGAGTCCTGGAACATAAAACAGACATTAGTGGAAAAATGAGAAATCTGAATAAGTTCTATAGTTTAGTTAATGGTGTTATATACCATGCTAATTTTTTAGATTTGACAAATGTACCATGGTTATATAAGAGTTACTATTAGGGGAAGCTGAATGAAAGACATACAGAAACTGTATTATTTTTGCAACTCTTCTGTATATCCAAAACTATTTCAAAATAAAGAGCTTTAAAAATACATATATGCCTAAGGCATCATAGCAGAGAGAAGCAAAACTGGATGTGGAGAGAAAGATAACAGTAATAATAATGACTAACACTTAAACAGTTCTTCCTGTACACTAGGCATTGTTCCAAGCACTTAATTTAACCCTAACAACTCCATGAGGTAGGTGCTATTATTTCCCCCTCATTACACAGAATGAGGAACCTAAGCACAGAGAGGTTAAGTCACTTGCCTAATGATAACACAACTACTGAGTGGAAGAACTGGGGTTTAAGGATTTGAATCCAGTCTATCTCCAGGATCCTGGGGATTTGACCATTACATTTTATTCCTCCCCTTCAGTGTGTACATGTTATACTGCCAGATCAAGTAGAAATTATGTGTGCATGGGCTAGGGTGATAACAGTAGAAATGGAGCAATATCACTAAACTTAAGATATATATCGGAAGCAGAATCAACCTTTTAAATTGGATATGGTGGTTGAAGAAGAGGGAACAAACAAGAACAACTCCTGGATTTCTAGTTTAAGAGTAAGGACCAGAACCTAGTCTCCTGATGGTCCTGTGCTTCTTCCCACCACTGAAGGGAAGCTTCTAGATGGTTCACAATCTGTCTGCCCCTTGCTCTTACACATCCCCAGAATGCAAAACAAACTCGATCACTTGCTGTTCCAACATAGACCCTGATCTCTCCTACCTTCATGTCTTGTACAAGTTGTTCCCTTCACCAAAATTCTCTCCTCCATCTCCCTTGGTTCAAATCTGATCCACATCTCAGGGCTCATTAAAACGTCATCTCTTCCAGAAGCCTTTCCTGCTCTTCACAATGAGAAACACTCACTCTCTCCTCTAGAGGCCACCATGTTTTAGCTCTCTTTGGCGGCAATCTCCCATCCTGCAATATATTTATTTGAGGAGGGTATTGGCTGTTGCTCACTCTTGTATCCTCAGCACCTAGCATAATAGGTACTCAGAAAGACATATGTTTACTTTCTGAGTAAATCCGCTACACACAAACACACACCATCTGGCACCCATGTTGGTGCTCTGCATGTTTTAGGGCCTTGTTTTTAAAGATGCTGAGTGGGCGATCAAGTGATCTCATTTACTTGCCTCCATCCTCTCCACCCAACCCATCCCAAGCAGTTCTGCCCACACCCAGATGCATCCTCTCTGGAAGCCCATTAGCAGAAGATCAAAGAAACTTTACCCAAAGATGGAGAGGTGGGAGAGCATGAGCAGGAAGTGAATGGGCATTGGTGTACCTGGAACTGCCCCCTCAAACCCATTCATTCAACTCTTACAACATGCCAGGCAGAGTCTGAGACCACAGCAATGAACACAATTCAGCCCTGGCCCTTAATGTATTTAGAGGCCATTGGTGAGCTCCCTGGCTGTCAGACTGAGCTACCACAAATCATGATTAGGCATTTCCTAGTGTAAAATCCTCCTGGTGGCTGCCTGGGATTCATGGATCTGCAGGCTTTTCCTTTCTCCAAGTCAGGCTCATGCTACAAACAACCATTCTGAGGTGCTACTCACTCAGCTGTTGCTGGCCTTCCTGCCTTTTTTCATGCTGACTGTGCTACTTTGAATCCAGTCTCTTTACTGCCTTCGCCCTCCAGTACATGCCTTTGTCTGATAGACGACTTGCTCAGCCCCTGTGGAGACCCCCTCACCATCTCTCCGCTGAACTATGTGTCTTCCTCCCTATTCCCCAACTAGACTGAGTGCCTTTAGGACAATGACAACATCTCTGTATATCCAAGCCTGGCACAGTGTTTGGTCACAAGAATGCACAGTTAGATTTGTTAAAGGTAAACATTTGAGTGTGGGAGTACTTCTGTGAGTGCAGAATTAAACTGCTTCAGCCAGAAACCCAGAGAATAGTGGGAAAGTGGTGCCCTGCTTGCCGCCCTCTTGCTCCTCCTACTCCCTGGAAGTAGCATTTACATTTTGTGAGAAACAGCCACTACCCCTCTGCTCCTGCTGGCTGGACAAAGCGCAGCAATGGGTAAGGAGCAGCATCCTATGGCCCAGTGTCTGAGTAGGGCTAGGTTCTACTTAGTGGGAAACCCTGTCTGTCTGTCTGTCTGTCTGTGCTTGTCTGCCTGACTCCTTCTGGGGGAGAGGGTGGGGATAAGAGGTCCAGAGGGAAAGAGAAGAGGGTAGGCGTCGAACTGCCAAGGACCCCTATGGCCCGGGCGCCTTGGCAAGAAACCAAGCCGACAACACCGGGATGTGGTGGGTGATGAAGAGGATGGGACAGAGAGTGTCCGCCTTGCTGAGAACGCTGACGAGATAGACCACTTTCTCAGGAATCCCCCAAACGACTCAAAACAAAAGCGCCATCAAAGGGAACAGAGAGCCTTTTAATGCTCTATTTGGGGAGGGAAGGGGTTCAGTTTTTAGGAAAACGAACCCCTGAAGGGAGTGGGAATTAGAGAAGACAAGAAACCTCAGTGGCCCCATCTCACCCTCTACTGTCCACCGCTGGTTTCTCCAGAAGCTTCCTCTCATAGCTGTTTCTCCATTTGGCATCCAGATGATGCAAAGGAGCTCTGGCTTTCAGTTCTAATCCGACTCTGCCATTCTCTGCCCTTGTGCCCTGGGAGAGTCGCCTTACCCTTTGGGGGCCTTTGTTTTCTCATCTGTAAAATGGGGCCAGGATTGGAGTAGAGGTCCTGTGGAAGCCCTTTCAGCTCGGACATTAATAGATCCAGTATTCTGGCGGACTGCGGGCTTGTCCTTCCACGGATCTTAGTTTCACCCCAACCGAGGAGCTCCTTTCCCGACGCCGGCCGCTAGGGGTCACTGCCTCTCTTTTTCAGCGACTGAGGAGCGTGGCTGGCCGGCCCGCCCTCTCCCGGGCAGAAGAGCGACGCAAGGGGTATTTCCAGAACCAGTGGGCCTGAGCTGGACACCGCGGCCCTCGCTAGGGATCAGCCTCCGCCTGAAGCCGGAAGGTGTGTGCGGTCGGGCGGAGACCGGGCCGGGCCGGGAGGGGGTTAACGCTAACCCCTCCCATCCCCCTGACATCACGGGGCGAGCGAGGGAGAGGCTGGCGCTAGGCGAGGGAGAGAAAGAGCGAGAGGAGGGATCACCGCTCTACTCGGTGCCCGGGCAGCTCCACATTGTTGCGGATCGCCAGGGCCCAGCTGAACGGCGGTGGCGGCGGGGACGCGAGGCGCACCCGACTGACTCTCCTCGCGCAGAGTCGCCCAGCCTGAACCGCCTGGGCAGCTGGCTACCGAGCCGCAAGCCTACTGCCTGGGCCCCGAGCCCACCGCGCCGCCTGCTCGCCGCCTGGGCTCGTCCATCCTCCCTCCCCCCTCGGAGGACCGCGGGCCATGGACGCCTGCAAGTTGGAGGCGAGCGGGAGGGTGTGAGCGCGCCGGGGCCGGGAGCCCGCGCAGCTGGGCAGCCGGACGCCTCGGGGGTGGGTCCCTCTCTCCAGACCGCTCTGCGTGGAAGAAGAGGGCGGGGACCGGCGCGGGGAGGAGAACTGAGGAGGAAAGGGGGCATGACTCGTGCAACTTGCGACGGGCATCTGCCGAGCCTCTGAGCCGCCGGCAGCCCAGGGCCCGGATTGCGGCCGCGCCGAGCCCACCCAGCCCACCCCGCCCCGGCCAACCGCTGCGGCTTACCTGGATCCTCAGAGCGCGCGCAGGCCGGCAGCGATCTGCCTTCGTCTTCCTCCTGGTTTCTGCAGCGCGAGGAGCGCTCTCCTCGAGGCCCTTCTCGCCGGACCTCCGGCCCCCGATGGCTCGGATGGGGCTAGCGGGTGCCGCTGGACTCTGGTGGGGACTCGCTCTCGGATTGACCGCATTCTTCCTCCCAGGTAAGCGCGTCCCGCCGCGGCCTTTTTATTATTTTTTTTCCCACCCAATGCCTCCCCGGGGCAGGAGCTGGGTGGCGGGCACGTCTGGGTTGTAGGGATTGAAAGGAACCAGAAAAGTTGGGTCTTGGCTTAGGTAAGGAGCGGTGGGGGTTGGGGGGGGTGGGGGGGGGCGGGTAGCACGGCAGAGAAAGAGAAGCCAAATAGCTTGCCCCGTAGGGAGGCAGTCGAATGCAAGTCTCTATGTAGCAAGAAAGCACCTTCTCCCCTCAGTTTTTCACACACACACACACACACACACACGTATGTGTGTGTACATATAATGGCGTTCTATTTATTTAATAACCAGGTCTCTGCTTGGGAAGCAGTTTGGAAACACTGCTCGTTACGTAAATGCAAAATAACCACCGCAGTCACCGTCTCGGGAAATGAGATAGGAGACCCAGGGGGGAGGGCGTCAGTCTCCGTGGTGGTGGGCTGTAGGTTTGGAGGGTGGTAGGGTGCTTCGTTTCTTTCTCAGGCCCCTTTGCCAGACTGTTGGGCTCTCGGGCCCCTCCCGCACCAATCTCCCCACGTCAGGCGCGTAGACCCCGCTACTGCGGCACAGGCAGCTTGTCTCTCACCTGCGCTTCCTTTCCAGAACGGTGAGGCCGGGCCAGCGCGTCAGCGCAACCTACCAGCCTTGGCGGGGCGGGGCTTCTCCTCTGAACTCGGCTCCGCGTTTAGGGGCTCTCCTCCGAGGAGGTGCCGCGGGCTGCGTGCCAGCCAGGTGGCTGCATGACCCACTTTCCCGAGGGTGGAAAAAATGTCTCCTTGAGGGTCTGGCGGCCGAGGAGTTAACCGGACGCTCGACCCCGCGGTGGCCTGCTGTGGCCCCTCTGATGGGTAGGGTGGGGGCGGAGGCTGGGACCAGTCCCAGCGTTTAGTGCTGGAGAATCGACTGGAAAATGCGTTTAGGAGGCAAATCCGACAGAGTCCCCTTGCCTAGATTTAACCCTTTGTCTCCCTGAGGAAGCTGCCGGGCTCCCTTGGTAGCTGGCGACACCAGTGCGCCTCGGAGACGGGTGGGGGTTCCTCCAGGAAGAAACCCGAAACCACCCCCCAACTCCAGCTAGACGGGCGTTTTAGGGGCAGGGTGAGGGCTTGGTTGGAGCATGTGGTCGTGGCCTTAGGGTGGCAGAGTAAAGGGTCGGAGTACAGAGAGACCAGCTCCGCGTGGGACAAGAATATGATATAGCGGGCGCCGCTGGCAGCGACCGAGATGAGATTCCTGCGGTGTAGCAGACTCGCTGGGCACTTTGTTTCCAGGAGCCATCCTGGCTGCCAAGTTTCGGGGCTGGAAGGCGGGAACCTGGCCTCATCACGTCTGTACCCCATCTGTCTCCAGCTCACTGCCCGAGCTTCGAAAATCTCACTCAGAGAGTGGCCAATGATATCTAAAACACTTTGTGGAAGCTGGCACCACGGTCCTCCGACTCCTGCAGCCTGTAGGTGCTGCGCAGGTAGATGTGTGGGGGAGGGGAAAATTCCGGGGCTAAGGGGTGTCACCACCCATTTCAAATCGGCTTGACTGAGTCCCTCCCAGTCAGGGTGGTCTCATACTGGGCTTCTTGGGAAATCGGCAGGAAATTGGCAGGAAATTCTTCTGACCCCGGGATCTGGACTTCTGTTCAGTTTCGTATTGCCCACACCCGGGACCCAGCTGAAGGAGAGCTTTCCTGGAGTTCTAGTTGGTCAGGCACACTAGGGGTTAACCTAATCTTGGGTCAGATAAAGGGATGGAAAGGTTTGGGGGAAGGGGAATAACTCAGGCCCATTCTCCCCTCCTTTGGTTGTTTATTACCCTAGCTTTGGGATGTTTAGTGGTTAACTCCTGCTTTGGGGCCTGGATGCCTGCCCTGCTCCACCTCCCTCAGGAGACAGAGAGGTGTCACCTGGCTCAAATATGGACACTCTCTCCACCAAAAATCCAGAGGGAGGAGGAGGGATACAGAGAAGTAACCACAGCCAGAAAGGCACTTAATAAGAGCTCACTGATTGATTGTAATTATTATGGCTGGTTAGCATCAGCAGCTGCCAAAGTTCCTGGACTCACTATGCTCCTGAACCTAGAGCCTGTACCCTTTGTCCCGCTGAAGGAAGGCGCATGGATATGCCAGTAGGCCCAGAAGTTGCTCCCCACAGCCCTCCTATCCACCTCTCCCAGGCTTCCTCCTCATTGTCTGCTGCTGCTTCTCTCAGGGGGCTTGCCATCCTGATGTTCTTTTCTGGGTTCTCCTAAGCATGGAAGGGTGAGGAGAGGAGCCCACATGCAGGGTAGGAGGTCAGGGAGCCCCTGGTGTGTGTGATGGCCCCCTGACCTCAGAATACTCCCTAACTGGCTATTGAAGTGTAAACACAGAAGTATGTTTTCAACAACACAAACTTTACCGGGCAGGGTGATTGGAAGCCCCACAGGCCTCTGAGACTACATCCCTTTAGTTAGCTCAGAGGAGAGAGCAAGTGAGGCATAGGGGCTATGTCCCAAAAGAGGGATGGGAGGAGCCCAGGGAAGAAGAGGCAGAGAACCTGCCTAAGAAGCAAAAGCAGAGCTGGTGTCCCACCTATATACCACACCCTCCCTAATTGGCTTCCCCAAACCTTTTGTCTAGAAAGAAAACACACACCCCAGGTGTCTGCATACCCTCAGAAGACCTGTCTGGCCACAGCACAATCCTTCTTTGCACCTGTGCAGACCTTGCTGTTATGTTGGCTTCCTTTGAAATTAGGAGCGTCAGGGTTGTTGGCTTATTTTTCTCTCTCCCCATTTCTCACAGTGGCGTACTTGGCCACTGTCTGACCCAGGATCCAGTAGTATGCTGCCAGGATGGCCTCACAGGCCAGAACCCTTGTACTGATGGCTAAGCCAGTGGGCCAGGCTGCAGGACAGAGAGTAAGCCCCAGGTGCTGTGTCTATGATACTGCCATTGTTTAACAGCTGACTAATGTTCATTGTTCATCACAAACAAAACACCCAAGGGAGGTGTAGACTATACCTTCAATTTTTCCTGATTGTTTCTTTCATAGTTCATCTGGTAAACTGAATGGCTCCCACTGAGAGAAGGACGGAGAGGGCATCTGTATGTTCGCCTGTTTTTCTGATTTTTTAAAAAATTTGAATGTTAGCCAGTGTGCCAGGGTAAAATGTACATTAGCCAGCTGCGGAGCTTAGGCTACAACTTTTCTGACAATCTATGTATAGTCTCACATTCAGTATAGAGTGGGTGCATGAACACATATACAAGGCTTTGTGTGCTTGAGTTAGTTATCTACACCTCACTGAGATGTGAATGTGCAGGCGAATGGGCACTAGGACAAGGAGGTATAAGCACTGATATCTATGGGTCACCATGGTCATAAATCAAATATACTCATATAAATAACTACCTGTGTCTTTCCAACTAGGATTTTGTAGTGACTCTGAGCCTTAATAATGTCTGTGGCTATGTCAGCATCAGTGAGAATGATTTTAGGAGGAGACTTAGGATATGCCCTTAGCCAGCTCCTTCTAACATAGGCTGCCAGGTCCTTAAGGAGTAGAAAGCCTGGACACTACTTTCTTTTTGTGCTCTGCCCTTGACTTTAGACTGGGCCTCTGCATCCTTGCAGGAGATGCTTACCTAGAGGGACTTTTCCCTCTTGTTTGCCTCCCCAGCAAACAGAGCTGTACTGGAACCTGTGTCAGCTGGGGCCTGGCTTGCCCTGAGACTTCTCAGTGTCCCTGAAAGGCTGGGGGGGACCTCAGGAGATAGGTTTTCATCTACTAATTTAGCACCTTTGCTTCCAGCATGGATACTTGGAGAGAAGCATCATCTGAGGGGAAATGTAGCATACTCTGGGCATTTAAAAAGGGGTATGAATGTGAGCTTCAGTCCTCCATGAACAGCATGTAGAAAGAACCATATGTGCGTCCAGGTGTTCAACATAATGTGCCTGAAAGCATCCCTGGTCCATGCAGCAGAAAATGGCAGCCCCTTTTTTGGAAAGGGAAGTGAGTATGAGGGGCAAGGAGTGGGAAAGAGAGCTGTCCTGGGAGCCCATCACCCTGTACTGAAGTTCAGCTGGCAAGTGTTTATCCCCGTGTTGCCCACCCTCTTCATAGAGACCATGTCTGCAAAGCCAGCAGCAGATGTGCTGGCTTGGGCAGGAGGTAACTTAAGATCTGAGCAGGGATCATCTTGCAAAGGAAATGCCCTGAACTGAAGATAACACCCTTTAGTCCAGTTAACCCTTTAAACTCTGGATTCTGTTGTGCTATTTGGAGTTGGGAGATGGAGAAGGGGAAGGAATAGGAGAAAACACATTTTACCTAATATACAAACCCTGATCCACTCTACAAGGAAAGATGAACTCTGCAGCAGGAGAGACCAAAAAAGGATACAAAGACTTCCTAACAGCACAGCAGATTGGGGGCTCTTCAGGGAAATGGATATTTCCAAGGTTTATCCTGGTGTGAGGGAAGAAGCAATCGGTATATGTTCTCAGGGACCTATGGCATCTGTGCCTTCATAGCCTTCCAGGGCAGAGCAGCAGTCGTCCTAGGCCCTGGTTAGAAGAAAACAGCAGATAACTCAGTTCCCTCCCTACAAACTGGAGATTACCCCATTTGGCTGCCCAGCATAGTGAAACAGCAAAGTGGGGCCTGGTGGAATAGGTTTGAATCCCAGTGCAATCAATTGCTAGTTGAGTGGACTTGGTAAAGCCACTTTGTAGGCCTGAGCGTTCCCATCTATAAAATGAGTTTCTGTTAATACAGATTTCGAAAGAAGTTTGTGAAGACTTGATCAACAATAATGTATGAAATATATATAGCATATCACAAGGCATGTGTTAAATGTTCAGTAAGTGGTAGCTACTACTATTCCCTGTGCCTTCCCTCTGAGTGGTTCTGGTCTGCTCTTCAGCTGCCTACACACTGCTACCTCAGTTCCCTTGTCTCCAACCAAGAGCTTCTTTGGGCAATA